TAAATCTTTTGATCCAGGCTGAGGAGAAAGCTCCCCAGGTAGCATGTTCCCTGAGACAGGATGTAGCTCTGCAGCCCACACCAAACATCTGGACTCTGGATCTCCTGCCAGACCACTGCAGTCCTTCAAAACATTCTCAGAAGTCCAGCCTCAAAGAAAGAAAGCAGAGGAAACACACAGAAGTGCCAAATCTTCCATATCTCCTTCTTTGTTCCTGCAGTTTGTCATTCTTGTTGGTACACGTATGTTGTACTTTGATGACATAATGCCCAGTCAGTGGTGGAGAAGTACTCCAAATCCTTCAATTCAAATTCATTAAAGTAAGGTTCAGGGTCACCTGACACCTCGGCGCGTCCAATAGCAGAGAATCTGCAGATAGTTGTAGCTTGTCTATCTTAATACAATGCAAACGAGGTGTTATTTTTGTCTGTCCAACTTTACTGAAGTGAAATGGGCCTCCACATTATGCCGGTTTTGACTGCGCGTTTTCTTTTTTTATTATTGTTCCCCCGCATCCAACAAACATCTCTTGCGCTGTTTTCAGCCGTCGGCATATGCTGCTTAAAAACCGAACGCACCTTTCTGACACGCCTCTGCGTGTAGCAACAGGAAACAGGAAAAGTCTCGGAGAAGGAAGAAAGTTTAAATACATTCTATGAAAAATGAGCCGAATTTATGTCAACACGTCTTTACAGAACAAACCAGTGCACAGTGACACATTTGACCGTGTGTGGTCTCCGTCTGCGTATGAAAGGTAGGGCTTGAGTCCTGCTGACAGTGAGCTAGTTAGTTTACGAATCGTCGGAAAAAATTAAAGAGTACTTTGCCATAAATGTTGAGGGTCTCACTTATACACCTTTAAAAAAATTTTTTATCGTGTCTGGTTGGTTTTGTATTGTAATAAACCCCTAATTAACAATTCAATTAAACTGTAAATGGCGTAAAGTTATTAACTTCTGCTAGCAAATGCCCTTTGTCGTGTGCTGCACTAGGTGAACAACCACTTAAACTTCATAGTTGATAATAAGAATAAAAACAACGGGGCTCGGACCCCTGCAGTCCAGTATTCAGGTTCAGTACCTGTCAGTACAAAGTCTGAGCTTGGCATTGTTCACCCCGTCGGGCCCATTGCTGAAAGGAGTTTAGTTCTTTAGTTCTCCATTATACAGAGCTCTACCATGAAGAACAGAAGTTTCACAATATTGTACATTTTTTATTGGTACAATAACGTACGAATTGAAGTCAAATCATTTTAATATTTGATATTTTTCTTCCACACAGTGGCCAGGGAATTCTTCTACAAGGAAAGCTGCTGGATGTGTCCAGACATGCAGTCAGTGATGTCAGCAATCAAAAGGTACAGCAGGCAAACCAGCCAGGGCTTAGCTGACTTAGCTGTGAGCCCCTGTCGTCAGAAAAGACATTCTATCTGTACTGTAGACCGACAGCACCTCCTTTCCCCTAAAGAAACAGGGCTGTTTGGATTTTCAGTTCACCCTGCTGTGAATGTGTACTTTGATGTTGGGGATGATAAGGAAAAATGTACCATAGTACAAAGTCATTCATTTGTTTGTTCAGGTCAACACATCATTTTCAAAGTAAATAAAAAGTAATAATTTAATCAGAGTGTTTAAAATAAGGATTTCCACAAACCTTGTTTGTGTTCATGTGTTCCTGAGCAGCTTTGGCTCTGTTTATGCTTTAAACGAAACAGAAGTCTTTATGAGTGTTAGTTTTTTGGGCAGACTAAACATAAGCAAAGGACACAAACCACAATTTTCATTGCTCTTTTCTACTTTTGGCAGGTCCGTTTCTATGTTCTGTACATCAAACCCAGCCACATCCATCGGAGGAAGTTCGATGCAAGGGGACAGGAAATTGAGCCAAACTTCAGTGAAACCAGAAAGGTCAACACGGGTTTCCTCATGTCGTCCTACAGTGAGTAGATCACAACAAGCCTTTGAGTTTATGTTTACATATTTTCTTTCCTTCCCAGATTTTGTCTACCATGTATTTATTTGTAGCTTAAAGTTGAATCTCTGCCAACTGTCCAGTGTCAGGTGTTTCGGTGGAAGACATTTTTGAACTGCGGCTGCACCCTTAAATCTCTTATGTGTCATGCTCTGTAGGATAGTGTACAACTTTGTGTGTGAATTCAGTAGAGCACATAGATGCATCTCTGACAGCAGAGGGACATACCTACTATATCTGCACATTTTCTGCTGCTAAGTTCATCCATTATCTATATTGCTTATCCTGGAGCCTTTCCCAGCTGACACTGTGTCAGAGGCAGAATGCAGCCACATCACCAGTCAACCTGAACTGCATGTATCTAGACTGTGGGAGGAAGCCAGAATACCGGGAGAAAACCCACGCAGCCACAGGGGGAGCATGCAAACTCCACACAAAAAAGATCCAGTCAGTGCTAACCTCTGCAACGCCATACCGCCCTGACCAAGTGAAATGTGGACTGATATGCTCACAGGAAGAAGACACACCTGGCATTTGTCCATTTTCAAGTCCTTATGGCTCAGTATTTAAATGCCTTGAACGTTAATTTTCTCAGTGAACTTAAGTGTCTTCACTGTTGTTGCTATCTCAGTAAATCTTGAATATATTGCCAAATATATGTCGACAATGAGGACACATCAGATATCCTTTAAGATGGTGCCGACAGTGATGGCAGCCTTGGTTACTCGCACTTTCTTGTTTGTTGTTTTTCTTTGTTTTCTCGGTCTTTTGCAACTCATCCCGGATTACTTTTACCAGAGAAGAACTGTTAAATATCGGACAACTCACACCGAACGACCTTCCTCCGATTTTTGTGAAGGAAGAATGCTGTATGGACATTCTGATCGGAGGCGCAGCTGCCATATACGGGACCTGGAAGAAACGCCAGTGTGGCAAACGAGCGGGCGCCTTAGTGAGGCTACTCCAGAGAGGGACCCGGACTCCACTCCCGTCTATTCACCTAGCAAATCTCCGCTCCCTGGTCAACGAGAGGAGGTGGAATCTGCTTCTACATAAATGAAGGTTGGTGCACAGATGTCACAGTGCTACAGAGGACATGTAACACAGACTTGGGCTCTTTTTATCAACTGCAAACCCTTCTATTCTCCTCTTGAATTTTCGAGCTTCATCCTGGTGGGTGCCTATTTAAAGCCACAGGCCCACGCTAGTGCATTACAGCTCCTGGCAGAACTGATAACTAGCCTGGAGCTAGAACATCCTGACTCTCCACTCATTGTTTAGGGGACTTTAACAGAGCAAATCTCACCCACGAACTGCCCAAATACAGACAGCACGTCACCTGTCCCACCAGGGACAAAATCACACTGGACTACTGCTACACAACAATAAAAGACACCTATCGCTCTGTCCCCTGCGCAGCCCTTGGACTCTCTGTTCACTGTATGGTCCATCTTATTCCAACCTACAGGCAGAAACTTAAAGCTGCGAAGCCTGTGGTTAAAACAGTGAAGACCTGGACTGAGGAGGCTAAGTCAGAGCTACAGGCCTGCTTTGACTGCACAGACTGAAGTGTATTTGAGACTGCAGCTACAGACCTGGATAAACTCACTGACACTGTGACATCTTATATCAGCTTCTGTGAGGATGTGTGTGTGCCCAAAAAGTCCTTCTGTACATACAACAACAACAAGCCCTGGTTCACAGCAAGCCTCAAGCGACATCATCATGCCAAAGAGGAGGCCTACAGATGTGGGGACAGGACTCTGTACAGCCAGGCCAGTGTTGGAGACCCAGTTCTTTTCACCACTAACTCTGAGAGACGAAGCAGTCCAAGTAACGGTGTTGGACCCAGTTCTTTTTACCATGCTAACTCTGAGAGACGAGGCAGTCCAAGTAACTTCAAAACAGTGCTGATTTATTCAGTGATCACAGGTAAAAATTAACATTACACGCTCAGGAGTCTTTGCACCTCCAACATGCACACAGGCAGCTGAAAGATGAAAAGCCCTGAACCATAACAGGCCTATACATTATATCACTTCGGGCTAGCCCCACACTACGCTGGGACGCCAAACCGTGACGTCTCCTGGTGCCAGCTTTGCAGCTGACCATAGCAGTAGTCAAAGCATGAAGAAAATCAATGTGTGAATGTCTGTTGATTATGTGGTGTGTAGCTAAAACATTCTGACATGACATTAAGCATAAGAAAATATTGTGACTATGATTATGGTTAAACACGTCAAAACAATAAGACTAAACATTCTGTCTCCTAACAATAATCAACTTTCTGTCTAGTTATCCTTGAACCTTGTTGGGTATTTTTTTTAGTCAGATAGATATTGGTTAGATACTTGTTGTATTAGAAATGTCTTTAGTGTAGACAGGATGTCTAGCTCAGGCTGTTAAATGCTTACTCATTTCCAGGAGTTACTCAAGGTTGTTTATGTTCCAGGATAACTAGATAGAAAGTGGCTATTGTATGATATGTTTAGCCGTAATCTTAATCATAATATCTTCCTAGGCTTAATGTCAGGACATGTCACTGAATGTCCTGTATGTTCTTAGATACACACCACTTAATCAACACTCACACACATTGATTTTCTCCATGTTTTGACTACTGCTACGGTCAGCTGTAAAGCTGGCATATCAGGTGACGTCATGGTTTGACGTGCCTGTGTAGAATAGGGTTAGCCCAAACCAGATATAATGTACAGGCCTGTTGGGTTCAGGGTCTTTCATTCTTCATCTGCCTGCGCGCAGTATTGGAGGTGGAAGATGCCTGGACGTGTAATGTTAATTTTACCTGTGATTCTTTGAATAAACCAGCACGGTTATTTTTTTATATATCCAAGTGGTCCGCTTCGTCTCTGTGAGTTCCTGGTTAAAAGAACCGGAAGTAGCTTTCAACCTGAACAACCTGGAGTACCCCATGAGAATGACTAAGCATTTTAACAGCCTGAGCTAGACATCCTGTCTACACTAAACATTTCTAATACATAAAGTATCTAACCAATATCTATCTAACTAAAAATACCTAACACCAGGAACACACTGACAAGGGAGATCACAGCAGCAAAGAGGAGCTACTCTGAAAGCTGAAGGCTCAGGTTTCAGCCAATGACCTTTTGTCTGTGTGGAGAAGCCTGAAAAGCATCACTGGCTATAGAAAACCACTCCCACCCTCCACCTCAGACCCAGCAGCTGCTCCCCCGACAATCACCATCCTTCCCTCCAGCCCCCCACCTCTAACGATCTGTGAAAAGAATGTGCGTGGCCTCTTTAAAAAACAAAGGATCAGAAAGGCACCAGGCCCAGGCAGTGTGGCCCCCTCCTGCCTGAAAGTGTATCAGCTGGCCCCCATCTTCACACTCATCTTCAACAGGTCCCTGGAGCTGTGTGAAGTCCCCTCCTTCTTCAAACGCTCCACCATCATTCCAGTCCCCAAGAAAACCTCCATCAGTGGACTGATCGACTACAGACCTGTAGCCCTGGCATCTGTAGTTATGAAGTCCTTTGAAAGACTGGTGCTGGCCCACCTGAAGGACATCGTAGACCCCCTGCTAGACCCCCTGCAGTTTGCCTAACAGGCAAACAGGTCATTTGACGATGCAGTAAACATGGCACTGCTTTACATCCTGCAACACCTCGACTCCCCAGGGACCTATGCACGGGCCCTCTTTGTGGACTTCAACTCAGCATTCAACACCATCATCCCGGACATCCTCCACCCCAAACTGACTCAGCTCACTGTGCCTGCCCCCACCTGTCAGTGGATTACCAGCTTTCTAACAGACAGGAAGCAGCAGGTGAGGCTGGAGAAAACCACATCCAGTACCCGGACAATAAGCACAGGCGCCCCCCAGGAATATGTGCTCTCCCCTCTGCTGTTTTCACTCTACACCAACGACAGCATCTCGAAGGACCCCTCTGTCAAGCTCCTAAAGTTTGCTGATGATATAACAGTCATTGGTCTCATCCGAGATGGTGACGAATCTACAGACGGGAGGTTGAGCAGCAGGTCCTGTGGTGTAGCTGCAACAACCTGGAGCTGAACACGCTCAAAACAGTGGAGATGACAGTGGACCTCCTGGGCTCCACTGTCTCCCAGGACCTGTAGTGGACATCCAACATCAGGACCATCACCAAGAAGGCACAGCAGAGGATGTACTTCCTGTGGATTATCTTATTGTGCAGATTATACAGATCCATACAGGTCTTTATTTTTAAGTACCTTATTTTTATTCCTATTTATCTCATTTCAGTGAGCATTCCTTTGTCTGTTTGCATTGTTTACTGCCTGTTTATACTGCTTATTTTGCATTGTTTGCACTGTTTGTGCTTGTTAATACTGCTTATTTTGTTATATTACACAGCCTTACGCTGGTTTACTGTTTACTTGCCCTTTGCATGGGGATATTTACATGCACATTGAGAGCCAATGTACCAGAGTCAAAATCCAACTGTGTCCGACACACCTGGCCAAAAAAGGCAGATTCTGATTCTGATTTTGACATTTTCAAGTTGTGTAAACCTCAAACCTTATAGTAGAGATGTGGTGGTGTTTAATAGGCAAGTATGTTGCTTATATCCTGCTCTGGGGAGGGAAGTTTACCACCAGGAATGCATATCAGTGTTGATCTTTTATATCAAGGCCTGCTGGCAATCTTTGACACAATCTGTGGTGTTGTCCACGCTGCAGAACCTTTAGCTCCCTGACTTTGGACATTAAGGGATTACCACTCAAGTGACAATGATTCTGTTGTGTTTGCATTAGCAGAGAGATGCCTCGCATCAAACCAAGCACTCCCTTTCCCTTGCTATCATGCAGCTTTACCATTAAGTCCAAAGAGAGAACACAAAGTGATAACATGAGCTAAACACTAACAATGTTACAAGTAGTGGTGTTCCAAAATGAAGGAATCGGTATATATATGCTTGTATATGTAAAAGGCTTGACACAAATGGAGTTTATGCTGATATATACTGACTCTAGGAAATAGCCATATGTTGCATGCAAAAGTCCAACACTGACAAAGGCTTTCACATTCTCCTGTCTACTTGCCTTGTAAATGATGCCAGACTAATTACCAGCTACACAAATAAAAGCATTTCAATCATAAATCATAAAATTAAATATGATCAGCCGCTGTTGTGCATCTTCTGTCCATACAGAGGTGGAAGCCAAAGGGGAGTCAGACCATCTGTCTGAGGAGCAGCTGTCAGCAATGGTGAACAAACCTGAACTGGTGAAAATCACTGACAAGCACCGACCCAGGGGTACATGGGCCTTCTGGTACCCAGAGTCAGAGATGGACAAAACAGAGCTGGAAACAGGACAGGATGTTCGGCTGAAGACCAAAGGAAATAGTCCTTTCATATGTGAGTCTGGAAAATACAGCCTTTATGTCACATTAATGCTAAAGAGGGAAGAAGACTCCACTGTTGAAACTGGTGTATGTTTAATTAAGTACAAGATCTTTTTTACATGTTGTGATTACATTAGCTTTGTTCTTTAGAGCCATACGGTCTCTTTGGTTTTCTTGGTCTTCACATTGATGAAGCTTTTTCGAGCACTGACCTCAGTGGCAGAGGGGAGGGAATGATATTAAAGTCCAGGTAAAGTAGAAATAAATATGGTCTCAGTTTGTCACACCAGGAAGATGTTATTAACCACTCAGCCAAATTTGAATGATTAAAAAGATCACCAAGTATATAAAATTAGCATTCAAAATCATGAAAAAAATAAGGAGTATCCTCTGCTCTGAAATTATGGGGGTGTGTCGCGGGAAGACACGGGAACTGCGCCTGTTCTCATCATGGGGAGAACATGTAGGAAAGATGCATTTGCGGGGTGAAGGCATAGCTAGCAAACTGTAGGCTGTAGTAGGTGTAGTAACTCACGATAAAACAGGAGAACTGGTGCTAATGAGCTAGGGCTCTACAGGAGCATTTTAATAAAGACCACTGAATGAGAGTAGAAATATGGTTTTAGTGTTTATGGAGCCGCTTCTCCTTTGTGTTGGTGTTTGAACGAGAGTGGGTGGTGCTCCAGATTGTACACACACACACACACACACACACACACAGAGCAGACAGCTGCTGTCGCAGCAGTGGAGACAGGGAGCCCAGGAGAAGTGAAACTTATGGCTGAAGTTTACAGTTCCTATGCTGGTAACTGTACATGTAATAAAACCTTTGTGCGTAAAAAGCCAGTAGGAGTAATTTAACAAAACACCTGCTAAACAAACATAAACTTGCAGTGAAGCCACACTTTCAGCTTTGCCCACAGTCTGCAAGCTTGTTAGGCTAACAGCTAATAACTAGCTTAACTGCAGTGCTCTGAAAAGTGCAGCAGCTTCATGGTCCACTGTGTGGCCATTGTCTCCCTCATGTCTCTCGCCTTCCAGCGTCCACAGTCGGTTCAGACCTGCTCCACCATGTTCACCATTCATGTGTTAGTACTAAAGGCTCTATTCCATTATAAAGCCTCGTCCGGTTCTTTCAAACCAGGAACTCCGAGGGACGACTCAGACCACTTGAGTATATAAAAAATATAACCGTGCTGGTTTATTCAAAGAGTCACAGGCAAGAATTAACACTTCAAGTCCAGAGATCTTCCAACCCCAGGCTGCCCAAGCAGCCCGGAAGCAGAAAA